TGATTGAATAAAAGAATTTTGACAGAGGACAACGTACCAGTCAGAAGGTGAATTTCGAGGAAGACGGTACTAAGATCATATACTCGGTGTTTTCAAATAACAATAGACGTTTCTTTTGATTAATTAACAATTATTTTCATATTCTAATACACCCTACTTATATTATAACAAAATTTAATCCTGGTAGTCATCACTGCGCATGACTGATAAAATAATTACATTAGAATAAATAAAATACTAAAATTAAAACGTTATAATTATATTTACAGGTAAAAACAAGCAACAATATTAGAAATAAATCGTTTTCAAAAGATTAATAATTATCTATTATAATTTATATTATATTTATATTATAAATTATAATAGATATTATATATAATATATATAATTAGATAGATATAATATTAGATAGATCTAATAGATATTATATATATATTTATATAATATATCTATGTATTATTATATTCCTATTTATATATTATTATATTTATACATAAATATATATAAATATAAATAGATATATAAATATATATAGATATAATAATATAATAATAGGAATAATAATATATAATAATAATAATAATATATATTTATATATATAGATATAGTAATATATTATATTATATATATTTATAAAATATATCTATGTATTATTATATTTCTATTTATATATTATTATATCTATACATAAATATATACAAAAATAAATAGATATAAATATACATATATAGATATAATAATATAATAATAGGAATAATAATATATAATAAGAATAATAATATATATATATATACAGATATAGTAATAGAGAGGGTAGTGTTAAGTTAGGTTAAGGAGATAATTGTTAATGGAGTGCAACCCTTCGGGGACGCAGTAACCATCTATCTACAGATATAGTAATATATTATACTATATATATTTATATTACATATTATAATGTAATCAATAGAGATTGTATTTTAATCATTATAATTAAAATACTCACCGTTATGATGATTAAATACAATGCGTGTGAAATGTCAATCGTACTGCAAGATATCATGTTAATGATCCATGGTAAGAGGAATATTCGTTTGTCCTGAAAAAAAAAAAAATAAATAAATAAATAGAAAATTAAAAGTAAGAAAGAAAGAAAGAAAGAAACAAACCAACAAATAAAAAGAAGAAAATATTCATTTGAAACTTGATAATACGACAAGACGAAAAAGTTTATGGCTTATTTAAGTTAAATATTCTCTTGGTATTCGAGTAATAGTTCAAGTTCTCTTCATCCATTTTAATTTCTTACTTTACCGTCTTCTTGCTTACTTGAATATACTATTTTAAAAAACAAATCGTTAAGCCAATTACTTTATGGTCACTGATTAATAATATTTATCATGTTTTTTTCATAAGATTTAATTATACGTTTGAGAAGTCAAGGTTTTTTGTCTTTTCTTCTGAGAAAAAAAATGATGGTGGTGGTGGTGGTGGTGGGGGGCGGGGGGTAATATTTAATACGAACGTTATAATATTTTTCTCTTGGGAAAGTACTTGTATACTTTTTATCTTTTTTTTTATCAAAAGCTTATATGTTTTTAAAATATTTTCTATCATTTTGATACGCACCAATCAAAAATTTATTCTCATCTAAATATATTCAACGAATGTACAAAGTAAAAATATTTATTGATTATCATACTTTATATAGAAATATATAAATAGTTAAACTTCCTTTTAATTCGATTCGTGTATTATCACGTTTGATATGATCTCTAATCAAATATTTTATATTTTTAACCCTTTGATTGTGGCGCACGTGCTCTCGAACCAATCCCTTAATATGAATGGCAAATAAAATAAAAGTATGCAATTTTTTTTGTAATTTTTTTTCTAAGTAATTTTTCTAAGCTATTTTAACCCTTTGGGGTACATTTGACGAGTGAGACTCGTCATCTATATAAATATATAAATATTTCTATTTTGTTTTTATTTATATATTTATATATATATATATATATATATATATATATATATATATATTTAATTTATATCTTTTAATTGAAATGTTGTTGCAAAAAAATATATATTTATATGTCACCAATAGAAATATATTCCAAATAAAATGTATTACTTTTACTTATATTAATTCATATAGTAAGAAATTAATATTAAAATTTTCCGATAAAATTCACTACTCAAGGGGTTAATTTATTTTATTTATTTTGTGCATCCCTTCAATAATAATCGGTAATTTAAATATAAAAGAACGACAAATAGAAAATTGTTTAAATGTAACACACAGTATAATAACTTTAACAAAATATTTGAATAATTTTAACCCTAATTATATAAAAATAATAAAACAGATAATGAACGAATAAAGATAATAAAATTAAAATAAACGACGAATTTCAAATATAAAATGCAATTAACTTAAATGACATTGAAATAATTGCCAATATTTAGTTGCTATGTTACATATCACGATAAATTCCATGTTAAATTAATCGGTAATATAGCAATACAGGTGTTATAGTAAAAAAATACAGAGGGCGTATATTTACGCCTTTCGTGTATATTGATGAATTTGTGAGAGCGTATATATATATATATACGCCTTTAGCAGTCAAAGGATTAAACATATTCGATGATTAATCAAATAAAATGTTGATTTTCTGTTTATTTTGTTTGACTTTTACAGATAACCTCTTGATTTCTTTTTAATAGATTATAATATTGTGATCCAATTGATTGATATAATTCAAAAATTGTACATAAGAACATTTTTAAAAAGATTTCCTATTTAAATATTTATTTTAATAAGTTATAATATTTAATATTTTATTTTTTGTTTGACTTATACAGATAACCTCTTGATTTCTTTTTAATAAATTATAATATTGTGATCCAATTGATTAATATAATTCAAAACTTTGATATAAGAAAATTTTAAGCAGATTTCTTATTTATATTTAATAAATATTAAATCAAATATTTATCGTTAAATTTAATAAATATTAAATCAAATATTTATCGTCAAATTTAATTATACACAGAAGTGATAGTTCAAGTTTCTTCCGATTAATCTTATGCATTATTATACTGTTTTCCAACGATAAAACTTTAAAATCGATGTGCAAAGATCACTGACAGCAATGAACCTAAAACTTAGTCCTAATTTTGAACGGATGGATTATTAATAGCACGAGGTTGATTCAAGCGATTAGGTTAAGTAGTTGGCAAGTTCTATTTAATATTAAATTACTTTTAGTTGATATGAAACGATTACAAAATGTTTGACACTTTTGTTTGTTTGTTTTTTTTTTTAATTCAATCTACACGTTTTGTAGATTTTTAAAAGTAAGAAAAGAAAGGAAGAAGAGAAAAAAAATTAGTAATTTGATTAAAAAATGACGTAAGATCGTGTAAACATGTTTTCGCAAAATGAAAGAGGGTGGTTTTAATGTACGAAAATCTCAAATGGGTCGTTTGTTGTATAAATTCGATGGTGCACGCTAAAACAAAATTGTAACTTCGAAGACTTTCCTTCATTTCTTCCTCGGTTTCATTAACAGAACTTTAATTAACTACCCTTTTAGAAATTACGTTTTGATGTACCACATATATATATATAAGTATGAGGTAACTAAATGGAATAAAATAAATGAACTTAAATTAAAAACGATAAATTCAATTAGATCAATTTATTTTTGTTCTTTTTTTTCTTTCTTCTTTTCTCTCTCTTTCTTTTTCTTATTAATTTCATATAAATTTATATCGAGTGAAAAAAAAAATATATATATATATAAAACAAAGGAAGGAAAGAAAAGGGGTGGGGGAAAAAAAATTAAGAGGAAAAATTAATTTGCTATATATTTTTCTTTTCCTACGTAGTTTAATCACGCAAAAGAAAATTACAACGAGAAAAAGAAAGAAAGAAAAAAAGGAAAAAAAAAAGAAGAAAGGGTAGGAAAAAGTGAAAGAAAAAAAAAAAGAGAGAAAAATAAAATTCAAACAATGAAAAAAGAAAAGAAAACAAAAGGAGGTAAAGAAAAAAAAAAGAAAACAAAAGAAAAGAATAGAAAAATATAATAGCTTGGGAGAAAAATGAGGAGCGGGGTGGGGAGTGGGGGTTGGAAACTCATAAAATATTGATCATAATAGGGGTAGATTGTTACTTTTTTTTTCTTAGCAGCTTGTTTTATACATCCTCAAAAGGATTTTTTCTCTTTTGAAGGAATAAAAGCGATAAATGTACGAGATAGTTGAGAAAATCACAGAAAAGTTGAGGGGGTGGTGGTGGTGGTGGTGTGGTGTTTTGCCTTTCAACGTTGAAAATTAATCTTTTCCTCATTTAAGAAAAAAGACTTCTTTCTTATTATTATTATTATATAAAATAAGCTAAATATTAATAAGAAATAAAGTGAAGTAGTAGTAGTAATAGTAGTAGTAGAAGAAAATGAAGAATAAGAAGAAGAAGAAGAAGAAAGAGGAAGAAAAAGAGGGTTGTGCAAGATAGGTACATATATTTCGCGACGTAACTTGGACTGTTGGCTTTTCTATACCATGGAACACCACCTTCCCCGCTTAAGGTTGTTTATTAACAGGGTGAAAGTGGTAAAATTTATATCTTGTGAAAACAGTGAGGCAAATAACGTAAGAACGATAAGATAGAACGTACGTTGGAAACATGAACGACGTTGGAGATAAAACCCTCTTGTATTTTTATTTTATTTTTTTTAATTTTATTCTTTTTTGTTCTTCTTTTTATATTATTTATTATTTTTCTCTTTTTCTTTTTTTAAAATTCTTTTTCCACTTTTAAAGATAACCTAGAGGTGGATCTTTATTTTTTGTTCATCTTCTATTTGTATTTTTATCATGTTTTTATATTATAATTTATTATATATTATTATATTGTTCTTTTTATTATATATTATGTATTATGTAATTATTTATTTATTATATATTATTATTATTTTTCTTTTTTTTTATGTATATTATTAAATTTTTCTTTTTTTTCCACTTTTAAAGATAACCTAGGTGGATCTTTATTTATTCTTCTTCTTCTTCTTTTTAGATTTTTATTATACTTTTTTTGTTATAACTTATTACATATTATTATATTGTAGTTTTTATTATATATTATTATTTTTCTTTTCTTTATACATATTATTATATAATTCTTTTTTCAATTTTAACACACGTGTGTGATCTGCACACATGATTTTTTTATTTTTATTTCAAATAAAATACTTAATATTTTATTTGCAAATATTTTTTGAAAGTGTTTTATTATTTACTTTCTTTGTAATTATTATAAAAATGCGCGCCTGTACGAATGCAACCCTCCAGACACACTTTGAAAACGTTGCTTGCGAGCGTCATCTCTTGGGACGTAATTTTTTTTCTGCCCGAAAGATAGGCAACCCGTCATACATAGGTGTATGAACAGTTTTGACTACAAAAATATTCCGTCTCAGTAGATGGCGCTCGCAAGCAACATTTTTAAAGTGTGTCTGGAGAGTTGCATACTAACAGGCGCTCATTTTTATAATTAAATTAATAATTAAATAAATAATTACAAATTAAAAGTACAAATAATATAATAATAATGATATATAATAAATCATTCTCGAAACTTGTTTATTTTATTTTTTTTACCTTTGGTATGACCTAAGGGAGAATAAAAAAATATTACGAAAAATAAAATATAAAGAAAAAAATGTATTTTGAAGATAAAAAAAAGATCCTGTACAATATTTTTTTTACATTGTCATATTAATGAAAGCACCTGTCTTTCGATCGTTTATCTTTACCATTTTTTCTGTTTTACTTTTTTGTTTTTTATATTCTCGTCCAGTTTTAAAATAACTCGAAGGGTAAAAAATAATACAATAAAAATATCAAATTATATTCTAGAATTTTTGTTTGGTTTTGTTACATATTCATATAGTGAAAGGTATATTTTATTTTAATAATCATCGTATCTATACTTTTTTTAAACATAATTTTTGTTTTTCCTTTTGGGATGACCCGAGGGTATAAAAAATGATAAAAAGAAAAAAAATATCTTTTAAAAAACATCCAACATACAATTTTCGATATTTTTATTCGTTACTTTTCATTCGCGTATGTTCAATTTTTTATCATACATGTTCTTCATCTTTACCTGCATTTTTTCTTTTTGATTAAAAATTATTTCTACTCATCCTGATAAAAAAAAATTTGTTCTTTCTTTTACTGTTTTATTTTTTCTTTTCCTTGTACTTTCTTCAACGTATAAGAGAGAAAAGTATATATGAATTATTCAAAAGAATAATACTATAGAAAATTGTTGTTATTATATGGGATATATAATAAAATCAAATAGAAATTTGTGTGTCTTACCTTTAATAAACCGTACACGAGAAGAATACAACAGATAATACCAGAACACGAACATATCAACAAAGTTATGTTGAAACGTAATGTAGCTGAAAGAATAAAGATTCTATTTATTTCTATACATTTATCTTTTAATAATATATTAATAATATATTGATTAATAATAATAATAATAATAATAATAATAATAATACATTAATTTATTTCTTTTTTCTTTTATTTTTTATTTGTTAATAACTAAGGTGTGATACATACCAGGTGATATTGTTCCAGGTTCTAAAATACTCGACGACTCTGGTAACGATCGATTTCCAGATAAATATTCACTTTCTGCTTGTAGTATCGTGCTAGTTATTATGGCTAATAAAGCAAAGTAAATCTGTAACATGATTTTAATAATAATTAATTAAACTATTGAGAAAAGGATTAAATTAATATTACGTTAATAAATGTTATTATTTAATTTATATATATTAAAATATTTGTGGGTTGTTCATAAAAAAGTTAAGAACAATTTTTATAGTAATAGTAATTATACTATTGAGAAAAGGATTAAATTAATATTAGATTAATAAATGTTAATATTTAATTTATATATATTACAATATTTGGGTTGTTCATAAAAAAGTTATTAACAATTTTTATAGTAATAGTAATTAGTTATACTATTGAGAAAAGGATTAAATTAATATTATTATATTTATTATTTTATTTTATATTATATTATATTATATTATATTATATATATTATTTAATTTTATTATATTATTTATATATGTATATATATATTAAAATATTTGGGTTGTTCACAAAAAAGTTAATAACAGTTTTAATTATATATAATAATATAATATATAATATATATAATATATATTATATAATAATAACAGATTAAATTAATATTAAATTAATAAATGTGATTATCTAATTTATATATATTAAAATATTTGGGTTGTTTATAAAAAAGTTAATAACAATTTTGAACAAAATAATCAAAGTTATTCGTATATTTCTACATGCATTAATAATTAAAAATATCACACTCTGTTAATTTTGTTATTTTGTTTAAAATATTAAAAAACATTTGTATAATTCGGTAAACAAAATATAATCGCATTGTTTTTAAATTTCGCGTCGAGTTTACTATAAAAAAAAAATTTCATAACAGTAACATTCGTATTTATTCAAATATTGTATTTATTTAAAAATTGTTACGAATTTTCCAAATTTTAATCCACTTACACATATAACAAAATCGAATAGATTAAAATATGTTCCTCTCTTTTTTTTTCTTCTTTTACAATAAATTAAATCATAATAATAATTATCAGAAACGTTGAAATGATCGTTGGTAGAAATTACCGCAATGTCAATTTCAACAAACTAATTTGATTTTCACACGTTCGAACGTTTTGTTCGTATGATCGTTTATTTGTGTATGTGTGTATTCAAAAGAGAGATAGAGAGTGGGAGAGACAGAGAGAGAGAGAGAGAGAGATAGAAAGATAGAAAGATAGAGATAGAAATGTAGAATAACAATGTTGTTATAAGCCTGTGAGGCCTAGTATCTTTCACGTATTTACCGCAATAACGTAAAACAATTTTCACGTTGCGTGTTCGTTTGATGATTTGAAAGATTAAAGTATTAGAACCAACACAAATTCGAAACTAAATTTTGTTGTCTTTCTTTTTCATTTTTATTTCCAAAAAAAAAAACAGAAAACAAAAATATTACTAAGGCTTTGTTTTTTTATCAACGTTATAAATTCATATATATATATATATATATATAGGGTTCTTTAACAATTCATAAAAATAACTTCTTTTTTGTCCGATCTCGTGCTCGATCGATTTTCGATTTAACGTTCGACTATTTTCGGTTCCGTTCTTTATTTTTTATTACCGGATTGGTCTATGGTTGGCATACATATTATACGAGTTGTACAATCGATAGTTATCTATTTTTTGTTTGAAGTGAAAACTTCTTTAGAATCAGGGTGATTTGAAAATTGTGAAACGGAAGAACGTGAAACCGATGAAACAAAAATAATTAATAATTAATTAATAACATTCAATATATAATTTAATTCTATATTATTTAATTCTACATATTAATAAATTAATTAATAAAATTCTATATATAAATATTCAGTGTCACAATATGTTTGTCCACTAATAATTTCGAAACTACTCAACTTATCTTCATGAAATTTATCTTATTTCACGTGATTTTTTTTTCAACTTAGCACATAGAACAATTTTTATCGCGATTTTGTTTTTTTTTAAAATTATTTTTTATTACTAATTTAAAGATTTTTATTTAGAGGTTATCCAGGTTCTGTAAGGTTCTTTCAATAAATGGTACTGTATTACAATTCAATTATTTCGATATATATTCACGTCTGGAAGCTTGGTTTTCTTTGAAGGTTTTTTTTTTCATTTTTATTTCCTTCTATTTTGATATACGTCTATAGTAAAGATATTCAAACCGGAAAGTTAAGCGTTCATCCTTTCGTTTGACTTCGATACATTCTCATGAAAAAAGGAAGAATGAAAGAAAAAAAAGAAAAATAGAAAAAACTTTACGAGAATAGTTAATGCTTTTGCTGGTTTTACGACGGCTGTTAAATTGCACTGCCAAATGTCTCACAGTGTGTGTATATGTGTTTGTATTGGTATAGTATGTTATATGTTCTTCTTCCGTGTTAAGCTTATATTACATTATAAGAATATAAACGTTGAAAAGACCCATCAGGCTCGACCTGATTTTTATATTTCATTTATATATATATATATACATAAGAGTGTGTGTGTAAATATCTATTTGGGTATATGAAACATTTTGAACACTATTTTTCATACAAATTTATAGATTCACAACTTTTAGTATAACTTCATACATAAAAATTGAGTGTCACATTGTACAATGAACTTTCAAACTACTGAATCCCGATTTTAATGACATTTTTTTGTATTTTGTGTATTTTTATTTTCTACTTAGTACATAGGATAGTTTTTATCGCGTTTATTTTGTATTTTTTATCGCTAAATTAAAGATTTATTGTTTGGAAGTTATCAAGGTCTTTAGGTTTTGTAAGTTTTCAGTAGATGGTGCTATATTGCAATTCAATTATTTTGATATATTCACGTCGTATGCTTTTCTAACCTTGTTTTTTTATATTTTTTTGAGTATTAATTCAGTGTCTTATTGTTCAATTAACTTTCAAACTACTGAACTCCGATTTTAATGACATTTTTTTGTATTTTCTATGTTTTTATTTTCAATTTAGTACATGGAATAGTTTTTATCGTGTTTATTTTGTATTTTTTATCGCTAAATTAAAGATTTATTGTTTGGAAGTTATCTAGGTCTCTAGGTTTTGTATATTTTCAGTAGATGGTGCTATATTGCAATTCAATTATTTTGATATATTCACGTCGTATGCTTTTCTAACCTTGTTTTTTATATTTTTTTGAGTATTAATTCAGTGTCTTATTGTTCAATGAACTTTCAAACTATGGAATCCCGATATTAATGACATTTTTTTTTAACTTAGTACATGAGATAGTTTTCATCGCGTTTATTTTGTATTTTTTATCGCTAATTTAAGGATTTATTATTTGGACGTTATCTAGGTCTTTAGGTTTTATAAGTTTTCAGTAGATGGTGCTATATTGCAATTCAATTATTTTACCTTTTTCTAACCTTATTTTTTATATTTTTTTGAGTATTATTATTTTATGTACTTCATTCTAGTTGTGCGTTGTTATTTATATGTTATATATGAAATATAAATAACAACACAACGCAAAGTGGTATACCATTTGATTGTATTTCATTTTACATTATTGAGAATCACGATGAATTTACTATACTGAATGAAATACACTATAACAATAGACTAAATAGAAAAGGATTTGAAAAGAAACTCGATACAAGCCTCTTACTACGATCGATAGTCAGAATATATTGCTTCTATCAATTGCACTGGACTATTGGGAATCCTAGTCTCTTATTCCCACGTTTCTATCGAATGCAATCTCGTTGTTTGCATTTAAATTGGTAACAAACGCATTACCATCCTATTATCATCTCGTTCCATTGTGTTTGATTTCTTTTCTTTTTTCCTCTTTGTTATAATAAATAATTATTATTTATCTATATTTAGTGTACGTACAGGAATAATTATAAAAGGTGTCCTAATTGTGAAATCAATTTAAATATCATTTGTTAATTTTTCAATGATTTCTCATAACTCAATGTTCATGTATTTAAAAATATTTTATATTTTAATTGTTTCTAATTGATTTTTATTTTAACAAAACACACATTCATAAATGTATTTCATACTTAATAAAATTACGATCATTAAAAGTTTATCTGCATGGTAGAAATATTTTATATTAT